AATGACAGGGAGATCTCCCTCTGTCTAAAGTAGGCGATATATGTGGCTGATAAGGAACATGAACGTCTGATATAATTGGTAAGTTGTAAATTAGTGTTATCTTTTTAGATTGAACTTTGTGATTTTGAAAGAACATTGATACTTTATAGAATGAGCACATTCTAAATTACTGCAGCAGGAGAGAGAACAAAATTAACCATCTACGTCCACCTAAATAAAATATCCATAATTATCATTATTGTCCTTTCTTTTTATACTATCAACAAGTCATACTAGTAAACTAGCTCTCGAAGAAGTTTGAAATGGTTAAAGTGTAACTTCCAGAGTAAATGCATCACCTTCAATTATACCAGGCATCGACGTTCCTCTTCAGCCACATGTATTGCTTTTCATCCTTCAAACAGAGGAAGGTCTCTCTGTCGGTTGGATCCTTGAAAAGCTTTAATGCAGTGAAGTAACTGTCATCGTCGAGTTTATCCATTGTATCAAGTTGCTATTCGATACAGTCTGATATTGTATACTCGCCCGACCTCATCGACCTCGCCTTTTTTTGGGCATATTTGATGATTCACCTAAATTGATAAGTTAAATTAGATACCTGCTGCAAATTAGAGACTCGGCTGCAAATTAGAGATTCAGACAAAAAAATTGTATGCCTACATGCTTATGATCACTTATATACCTTGCCCTGAAAAAATTTGGTCTAGCTTACTGTATTCCGGTAGACCATGAGATTCTATATAAGCCGTATCCAAACCAATATTTTTGTAGACATGATTCCCGTGCTCCCTCAGCACCTTTTATACCTTCTTCTATAGTGTATTCTAGTTTGTGATGGGTAGGCCATGAGATTCTATAATTCTTTTGCTCCAATTCTAACACAAACTAGAATGCACCGTGGAAGAATGTATAAAGGTGCTAGGAAATGTGTTCCTTGTTCGGCAAGGGAGCATGGGAATCATGTAAATATCAGTTTGGATATGGTTTATATAGAATCTTATGGCCTACCGCAATACAGTAAGCTCGACCAAATTTTTTCAGGATAAGGTAAGTCATAAGTGATCATAAGCATGTAGGCATACAATTTTGTCTGAGTCTCTAATTTGCCGCAAGTATCTAATTTAACTTATCAATTTAGGTGAATCATCAAATATCCCCAAAAGAAAGACGAGGTCGACGAGGTTGGACTAGTATACAATTTCCTACTGTATCGAACAACTCAATACAATGGATATACTCGACGATGACAGTTACTTCACTGCATTAAAGCTTTTCAAGGATCCAACCGACAGAGAGACCTTCCTCCGTTTGAAGGATGAAAAGCAATACATGTGGCTGAAGAGGAACGTCGATGCCTGGTATAATTGAAGGTGAGTAAATGCATAACAGTACAAGGAAGTTGCCACTTTAACCATTCCAAACTTCTTGCAGAGCGTAGTTTACCAGTATGACCTGTTGATAGTATAAAAAGAAAGAACTATAATGATACACATTATGGATATTTTATTTAGGTAGACGTGAATGGTTAATTTTGCTCTTTCTCATGCTGCACTCATCGAGGATGTACTGATTCTACAAAGGTATCAATGACCTCTCAAAGTCACAAAATTCAATCTAAAAAAACGCACTAATTTACAACTTACCAATTATATCACACATTCATGTTTCTTCTCAGCCACATATATCGCCTTTCAAGCTTTAGACAGAGGAAGATCTCTCTATCATTTAGGTCATTGAATATTTTAGTGTAGCAAAGTAACTATCATCGTCAAGTTGATCCATTGTATTTAACTCTTCAATACAATATGCAATTGTATACTTGTCTAACTTCCTCCTTCTTTTGCGAGTATTTGATGATTCACTGTAAATTGATAAGTTCATTAGACTCTGTTGCGGGATAAAATAGTCTTGTCACGTGGAGGATAAAGAAAGACCCGGACTTTTGAAAGACCACCTAGAGTGTTGTGAGCACTTATCATGCTTCGAGAAAATTAGGTCGACCTCTTGTATGTTGGGTAGGCTATGAGATTCTATATAAACCGTATCCAAACAAATATTTCTCCATACATGATTCCCATGCTCCCTCGCTAACAAAAGAAACTCATTTCCGAACACCTTCATACATAGTGCATTCTAGTTTGTGTTGGAGTTGGAGCCAAAAATTAATTTTGTGTGCGTGTGGGCATATGTGCGCACGCGCGTTTGTGTCTGTACGTGAGTGTGCGCGCGTGCGTTAGTGTATTACCACGTACCATGCATGTAATTAAAAAATCGAGTATATTCGTTACTAAAATAATTTATTTAACTAAATTAACATGTACTTTAAATTTATAAATATTATAGATTATAATTAGAGTAGTTATAAAAATATAAAATTAAAATCAATTACTCTCATTAATAAAATAAGTTTAAAATGAAAAAAATGATACAAAATGATATTTAAATATAAAATATGAATGAAATCTGTTGAAGTGTTGGTGACAAAATATCTTATTAGATTTAAAATTAATTGATGTATTTCTAATTTATCATTTTTCTACCGCTAAAATCTTTCTTAATTATTTTGTTGTTATTTTATTAATAGGTGTAGGTTTAAGCTTTCTAAATTATGTTCTTTAACTTTCTTAAAGCTTTCAAATTATCGTGGAAATTAATTGAGGATACTAATTTAAAATCGAAGGGAATTAAAAAAATTATAAACTTGTAACATTCTAAAACTTTCATATTCTACCTTAAATATAGTTATATACAAATATTGAATTATATAATTAATTTATGTATATGAATACAAAACTTTTACCTTATAATTTTTCATATTCCATTAATTTAATTTTTTAAGTGCATATACATTAAATTATCTCAGTTTAAGTTGCATTTTATTTTATTTTAATATATCAATTAAAAATATATAAGTATTATTTTAATTGTCAACAAAAATATTTACCTGAGTTAAAAGCATATTGTTATCTTGGTTATATATTCTCAACCTCAATAAAAGACAAAATATTTTACTAATTTGATTTCATATTTATAATTATACTAATTATTTGAAAATTGTGTAAATTGGATTCTTTAGATTACTTACCCTAAAAAGAATAATGAATAGATCTCTGAGTGTTTGTGAACGAAATTGTAGAAAAAAACTTATATTTATATAATAATAGAAGATGAGAAGTTACAATATTAGAAATTCCATCCTAAATTATAATTAAATGATTTTTTAAAAAAGTTGTAGGAAAAATATTTTGCATTCCAACCTTTTGGTATATTTTGATAATGGATTAATTTACCATTTATAATTTTATTAAAAAATTTGTAAGGTATTGATTACATGATCAATAAGTTTATTATTTTTTCACCGAACATTTGAAATAAACAATTACATTAATTATAAAAGAAAAATTAAAAATATATAGTAACAAAAAAATCCAATAACATTCAAATAAATTCTCACCTTGATAATTGATCGACCAATCCTTTTATTAACTTCATTTCAAATGAAATTGTAATATCACAAGCCTAGGAATCGAGATATAGATCCAACAAGTGCTTCTCTTGTAATTTGAATATGCATCCAACATCTTGAGACGTCTTTGATTGATGTGTGAGACCAAACTACACTGTAAGATTCGATAACGTTTAATTATAAACAACACTACATTTGCAACTCCTATAATTTGAGATACTTAATGTTCTAGATCACTATGCAATATGACTCTATTAAATCTATAAAATTTTAAAAGAAGAAATCAAGAAATTGAAAGAATGAAACTAATAGAGAGTAAAATTATCTTAGAAAAATATAGAGAGGAATGTATGTATAGGTAATGAATAAGTTGGAAAACTTTTGAGATTCTGACACCTTTTAAATTACATTATTAATTTCAATTAAAATAAAACACATAAGTTTTCTACCACGTTCAAATGCACAGACTAATTTTAATTTCATTTAATTTTATAACAACACCCGTGAAAGAATAAACAAAGTAATACTATTAACAGAAATAAAACAAAAAAAAACAATAACAAACAAAAAAAATTAAGGCGTCTATGCAAACTTTTTCCTCATTACCAATATTCATGAATTCCATATCAAAACTAATTGAAAAGGAGAGGAGTAGTTGTATATTATAAACCCTTTTTAAGTCTCTTTTTAAGTCTCCTTATCTTTTCAACATGGGATCCTTAACACTCATAATATATATATTTTTTAAAACAAAATATATTTGCTTTATAATTGTAAGTTCAAGTTTGAACCATGTGTTCCACGCTACTTTAATATATTACACAACATCTTGAATTGTTCTGAAATTCGAAAGATTTGAAAAGTGAAAGATATAATATATTACACAACATCTTGCGTTGTTCTAAAGTTCGAAAGACTTGAAAAGTGAAAGATACCAGAGAAAACAAAATATATAGAACATAAAACAGTACTCAAAAGAATTTTTATAAAACTATAATAAGAGAAGGAGGAAGATATAAAGCTAATTTCAAGAATTCTTGCTTTTTAATATATTATAGATATAGATTACAGAGGGTCTCAACTATATATATATATTTCTTTACTTTTCAATTTCTGTGCTAAATCTATCTTTTGCATCCTCAAAATATTTTATCAATCACCCATTGAGTTTTTCTAACTTTTTATTCTCGTAGTTTTCTTTAATATTATCAACATTTTCACCTTGAGCCTGATGGTTTCTATCAAGATTTTCACTAGTATTATCTTATATATATAAAAGATGGAACTACAAAAGTTAAAACAAACGGATAGAACTATAAAAGTTAAAGCAAACATAGTTAAGTGGTAGTTGATATACCTGTGAGTTCAGTCTCACACCCCACTTGGTCCAAAAAAAAAAGGAAGCTACAAAATTTCACATCCAATTGTTCCTAAGTAGTCAATTTAGAATTTGGATCTCCTAATCTTTAATTTTGTTTAAAATGATTTTTTATCTTTTATTTATTTATTTGTAACTAATTATTTATTTTGGAATATCTCTAAATTGCTTTACAGTTTCAGAGCTTCCATTACGGCTTCTGCTGCAAGAAACCCATCCCTTTTGCCTTCTCCGTCCTCTCCTCCTCCTTCGATCTCTCGGCATTTTCCATCTCTCACCATGGTGCTCGAGGTACTATTCTCTTCTTTCAGATTGAAAATTTCATACAATTTCTCCAATTTCTTTGGAACCCCATTTTCCCCAATTACTCTCGCAACTTAGGGTTCTTATGGATATATGAAACTTTTTTCGTTTCTTTCCGGGTAGGCGACGATGATCTGTGTCGATAATTCGGAATGGATGAGGAACGGTGATTATGCTCCTTCCAGATTCCAAGCTCAAGCGGATGCTGTCAGTCTCATTTGCGGAGCAAAGACGCAGGTCATAAATCGATTTCTTTTATTTGGTTTTATTTTCCTTGCCTGAAATCTGCTGTTTGGAAGATAATTACTTCTACCATCTTTCTGATTCATTGCGGTGAATTTAGGTTGCAGTTTGGGTTATTCATGTGGCTTTTGTTCTGAAAAGATCGATATTGTCTTACTTTCTTTGAATTATCTGGTATTCCCACATGTATTTTTTCGCTTATTTAATAATTCTGAAGTTTTGAGGGAAGTCTTTTCTGGTTTTACGCTTGCTTACAGTCCAATCCGGAGAATACAGTCGGAGTTCTTACAATGGCCGGAAAAGGGGTTCGAGTTTTGGTAACTCCTACTAGTGATCTTGGCAAGATTCTAGCGTGCATGCACGGTTAGTTCAGCTACTTGCCTTTTCATTGAAGTTACCTCGCTTTCTAGTATTGAAGTTTGAGACTTCTTAAAATGCCATGGGAGAAATGAATAGTTGAAACAAAAAACTGGTTTATCATTTTATGCACCTCACAAAAGGAACTATTGTTAAGTGGTACATTGAAGACTGAGGAAGCAAGATATTTTTTATGTGATTGTTTCTGTATTTGACTGTCGTTTCCTCAGCACCCATCCATCTCTGGTATTAAAATTATGGCACTGGAAGTATTGAAAAAATTTTAAATCAGCCCACCCTTCAGTTCTGTCACTTTTTCTGGATGGTGATGTTCTTATGACCAATGATGTACTGGACACCGAGAGTGCATTTGGATTGCTATCTATATGCAGCAGATTATTTCTCAACAGAAATATATATATAGATATGAAATATGGCTGATAATGTAGATTTCTTTCATTTAAATTTATGTAAAAAAATCATAAAGAGTTCTTGTTACACTTACAATTGTTCGAGGAGGCGTTGTAAGTTATGACATGGGGAATAACTTCTGTGGTAATTATAGATGCTTATTGGTGTATACTCACTCATTAAATGCATTAGTAGACGAAGTTCAATGAATGGAAACTTTTACATTCTCGATTATTGGTCAATTATTCTTTATATTACAGTTTTTTCATTTATCCCCTGTATTTCTATTGCTTTTCTGAACAATGACATTTTAGATGACTGATGATATAGTCATTTCCCTTTAAATATTTTTCCCAAAGGAAAACATAAATTCTACAAAATTTCTAAGGGTGACAACTGTTCAATCTTCAATGCTGAGGTGGTAATGTACAGCATTTTGGTAATTTGATATTCTTGTTGGTCTCTACTCTTTAGATCATTAGATGTGGTGTGTAGCGGGTTGTACAATAAGAGTCCCAGTGAAGTGCTGTGATCCTTTTTGCTAGTTCTCACTTCCCTTTCTCTATAAAACTTAGCATTCTTCTTTTTTTCCTCAATATTAGGTTTAGAGATGGGTGGGGAGACAAACTTGGCTGCTGGGATCCAGGTGGCTCAGTTGGCTCTCAAGCATCGTCAGAATAAAAAGCAACAACAAAGAATTATTGTTTTTGCGGGAAGGTAGGCACTTCTACTTCTACCCCTTCTATGCATTTCTATTGTGCCATTCCAGTTATCCATTGTTAT